GTGACCCCCAACCATAAAATTATTTTCGTTGCTACTTCATAACTATAATTTTGCTACTGTTATGAATTGTAATGTAAATATCTGATATGCAGGATGTATTTAGGCATCCCCTGTGAAAGGGTCATTTGACCCCCAAAAGGGGTCACGACCCACAAGTGGAGAACCGCTATCTTAATGTGTTAAGTTATCTCAAACCAGGTTTCTGCATATCAAGTTCCTGGAAGATCAGATGGGGAGTTAGTGAGTACTGAGGCCAAGATAGAGAATTGACCTTTCTGGGCAGCGGGTTTGCAGCAACTGAATACCAAGTGACAGCAATGTTTCAAAGATCAAAATTAGCAGAAGAATTCCTGTGGGCATAGAAATCTGTGGGTAAAGATTTAGGATATAAAACCTTAAGTTATATTCAAAGTTGGAAATAATTTTTAAAATACATAAGTTTAAAACAATAAGCAATACAGTTTTCTAGAATTTATTTTGTCATTAAATATAGGGACTCTCACCCTGGCTGGTGTGGCTCAGTTAGCTGAGCATCGTTCCATGCACCCAGAGTCACCTATTCAATTTCTGGTGAGGGCACCAGGTTGCAGGTTCGATCCCCAGTCGGGTCATGTACAGGAGGCAGCCAAAGAATGTTTCTCTTTCACATTGATGATTCTTTCTCTCCCCACTCTCCCTTTCCCTGAAATCAATTAAAAATATTGAAAAACCTTGCCAGTCTTGGTTATTAGGCATTATTATTATTATTACAATATCCTTTATAGAAAGGAAAAAAAAATAGGAACTCTCAGGCATCATAAATTACAAGTGGCTGAACTAAAGAACTACCAGTTCTAATTGGGTTACCCAGAGACACGATCCCTCTCTCTTTTGTTAGCAAGAGCATTAAGATTATTTATCTTCTGACCACCCACAATGGTTGATCATACAGAAATGAAGGTTCACTCTAGCCTTCAAATGTTCCTAATATTTACAGGCTACACAAAATGAGATAGGTCATATAAACAGAGTCAACTGTTCCACCTGCAATAGTAAGTTAGTAGTCTGCTTATATTCAGAAAGCATGCTTCCGTTTAGAACAGCGGTCGCCAACTGGTGGTTCGTGGACCACTGGTGGTCCATGAGGTCCAAAAGGTTGGCGACCACTGGTTTAAGGAAATTTTTGGAGTAGCAGTCCCCAACCAGTGGTCCGTGAACCACTGGTGGTCCATGAGGTCCAAAGGTTGGCAACCGCTGGTTTAGAAGGCATGTGATGCTTTCCAATAAAACATTTGTAACAGGTAAAGAGAAAAGCTATTTCATAGGTTGTCTTAACATACAAGGCATGCTCAAAGTTCAGCTTAACTCCATATTCTCCATTTAATTTTAGTAGAGCAAGAAAAACTTATAGAATCATGCCCAAAATCTTACTATGCATAAGTGTTGCTATTACAAAGGATTTAAAAATAAGTTTCCCTAAAGAACCACACAAATGCCTATATGCCTAACTCCCAGCAGCAGAGTGCCAGTTTTTCTGCCTTTTGGTGAACTATGGTCTGGCCTTAGTTTTTCAATTGCAATAGAGGTTGTGCTCTGCTAAGACTTCACTCCAACAGCAGCAATATGCATTCTCTGCACAGTTCTATCATTAGCCCCAAACATGGATGCTGCAATAACTCCCAACTGCAAACTCCTCTCCTACACTACGCTTTCATCCAAATACAAGGAGAGGGTTTAAGAGGCAAACCACACATATTGTAACAACATCGTTGTATATATTTGGCACAGACAAGAACTAATTCAAATCTTATAGGTTAATCCTCTGGCTCCACGATGATGGTGATTGGGCTGATTTTGCCAGAAGCAGCTGCTGCCCCCTCCTGTCACCTGACCTTTCCACAAGCACACCTTCCAAGGAAATGAAGCAGGCCGCCTGAACACCGAAACTTATTTTCAACTACTTTTTCTGTAATTCCCAAGACACAGTAATATCCTCTTATTTTCAAAAGTGCTTACTTAGAGTTCATAGAAAACACTTTCACATATATGATCTCACCTCCAAAATCCTAAAGGCAGGCCTTTTTCAGATGAAAGAACTGACTTGCCCAAGGTATTTGAAACTTGTTTTAAAGTTGAGATCTCCAATTTTGGGTCTACTGCTCACTTATCCACATAGCACAGGACACTCACTGCTCTACCTTTACGTGGAAAGTCAGGGTCCTGTCCTGGCAAGCCCAGAGATTCACGCGTAACTGCGCTGAGAACCCTGAGGGGCAGCGCAAAGTACAGGTGGTCATGTGTCCTAACAGCAAATGCCCAGATGTGCTACAGTTTGATTCTTCCAAAGAGTCAGAGAGCCAATTAGGTATTGACAAATTCAACAGTATGTCAGAATCTCAGTTTGAGATAAGAGCAAAGCAACCATTCTAAAAATAGCCACCAAAATACAGGCAGAAGATTGCTGTGGGCTCAGAGAAAGGCAAGTGGCTCACTTCCTTCCGTACATACCATGCCCTCCCAACCACTTCTGTTTCTTGGCACAACTCGTAACCAAGGAAGTTCTCTAAAGCATCTTCCCCTCCCTCCAGACCTAAGCTACTACTGTTTTCCTAGTGATCTTAGTAAAATCCTTTCTCCACCAATCTTAAAGATTGACTTTTCCTAGGAAATGTGGAGAGTCACTTTGAAAACATGAGCCCTGGGTAGAATGTATTTGCCCCCACTTCCATCTACCCCTGTGCCGGGAGCCGGTCCATCCTTGCTGCAGAGAAGAAACATCTGCACAGCATATGTTTCAAGGGACCTGGCGTATATGGCATACTGTTCTTAATGTTTGCTCCCCTTCTTGGTGCTATGTGTTTTAACCAAGGTCACCTCTCTGAGAAAGGTTGTTTCCCCAGGGGGGGATTTTTCCCTGAGGTTAGGGAGGGGATACAACCCCTTAATTAAGTGCCAGGCGGGTAGTTAAGCTACATAATCTTTACTCCCTGGAATGGAGATAAGAAACGCCTTAACCTTTGTAATAGAAATTGACAGGATTAAAATCGGCTGGTATAAATATAGATGTAACAAGACAATAAACATCAGATCATCATCAGATCCTCATTAGATCCTCATCAGATCCACATCAGATCCTCATCACATCATCGTCAGATCCTAACCAGAACCTAGGCAGAGAACATGGCAAAAGATCCTGGACAGAACCTGGCTACAGAACTTCACTGGAGAACCTAGACAGAACATGGCAAAAGAACCTGCATAGAACCTGGCTAAAGAACCTGGTGACTGAACCTGGCTGGAGAACCTGGAGAACCTAGCTGGAGAACCTAGCGAGAGAACATGGCACCAGAACTTGGTTGGAGTTCCTAACCAGAACTTCGCTGGAGATCCTGACCAGAACTTCGCTGGAGATCCTGGAGGGAGAACCTCAACTATGCTGATCAACTGAACGCTGACCCCATGTCATTCATTCTTCGCCGACTCCGTCCACACCTTTGGGGACCCCTGGACCTGTTGGGGTTGGACCCCAGCACCCCTGCCCTTTCCTGATCTACCACCTGTGCCCTGACCTATCCCTCTCACCCTTCCCCACATCAATCTGTCTGCATCTAGCCCCATTTTTTTCTCAAACAGGTAGATTGCACAAAATTACTGCCTAGCCTGTGATTTCTCTTCTCTGCAGCAGTGAAAAATCAAGTTTGGTTAGTGTCCCACTTTGATAGCTTTTAGAGAGGCTAGATACTTGGGATCCTACATGTAAAATTCTGCAGTCCGTACTTCTGATATGTAGGATTTGCAGGCAATAGAATGTGAGAATCACAAGGGATGTGTCCCGACAAGTCTATGGAATCCCAAATTCACAACACTACCATAGCTTTTAACTTTCCTGATGGAAAGAAGTAATATGTAATTCTAGGAGTGTCATTGTATCTGACCTCCAATAACAGCAGAAGGTCAGCCTGAGAGGCAGAGGTTGGGGAATGTGAGTGCACTGAATGGTTAATACTTTACTTCGGCCCCTAGGCTCTCAGCCTGCTAGGTTCAAATCCATGTTTCAGTAAAACTTTACTCCCTGCCATGGCCTTTCTGGATCACTTCTGGAAACTAAAGAGTGTGAACGTTAGAGCCATAACTGCAGTGGGTCTCCAGAGACCTGTCCTCCATTCTACCAAAGCCTACTCCTATGGGTCTCCATATAATGGCTGTTGATCTGGAAAAGATAGCAAGGACACATTTCTCTTTGTAGAGACAAAACTGTGTCAAAGATGTATTCAATTGTGAAGAAACAGAGGGCTGGACTTTCCTAAACCAGGAAGATCTGTTCACTGGACTCGGACAGACTTTACAAATACACTGTGCCACAGAGTGGCCATTAGCCACATGTGGCCGTGGAGTACTTGACATAAAGCTGATCCGATCTGAGATGTGCTGGCAGTGTAAAGAAAGCTTGCTTGATTTTGAAGACTTAGTATGAAAAAAAGGATGTAAAATATCTCATTTAAAAATACTTAGCACATGGTTGAAATGAAAGTATTTTGGATATACTATTGTAAATAAAACATTACTAAAATTCTTATCACTGATTTCTTTTTACTTTTTTAATACGCCTCCCAGCAAACTCAAAATTCTAAGTGTGACTGCATTGTGCTTACAGTCTATTTCTATTGGATGTGTTACTTTACACAAAACCCACAGCTCCTGGAAGGGTTTGCTGCTAGAGAAAGGATGAGCATGCTAATGGTTCGATCTGAGGTCCTTTTTAAAAACCAGACTCTTCTTACAGACTGCTCATCAGTTACTGTACAGACCACCAGCAAACCAAGCTCGCCTCTGGCTCCAGGCTGCCCCCACTGGGCAGCTCACACCTGCGTGGGCCTCACCTCCTCTCTGATGAGGCAGCAGCTGTGCATAGCAGCAAGGGTCCCGCGGCCCCAAGACTCTACTCTCCTTTCCATATTTGACGTTGCAGTCCTTTAGCCATTTTTAATATCCCCAAATAATACAGAAAAAAAACAACTTACAGGTTTTGAGATGGTGAATCCGCTGCTGGAATGCACAGGTATTTAACCCCCTGTAGAATGATAAAAAATAAATTTAAAAGATGATACCCAGTATAGAAAGATATTTGAAGGAACTATTTACTAAGGTCAAAAAAATAAAAAATAAAAAGGAGAAGTTTGTCACTCATCTTTTGTTGCCAAGGAACTGGGGAAAACTCTTTAATTAAGGTTCCTGATTATTTTCCATGACCGTGTATACAAATGTTCATGCTCTGGTTTGGAAACAGCTTGTAGACAGGGGGTATCAAAAAGTGAAACAACTGGGTACTTCCCAGTAAGTGGTACAAATTCCAGAGGCCTCACCTCAGATGCTCGTTTTCATGTTTCACATTTTTATCAATTTTATTTAGGATCCACTGGTAGTAAAACCTTAACATGATATCTGAAAATTGTAACATTATGGTACAGTTTCTTTATCAAATTTAGTATGAGGAGATTTCAATTTCACTGATGTACCTACATGATAGGAGTTTCGACACATGGGAAGTAATGTGATTTATTATGTCTCCTTTCCAGAAAAGCAAAACTTATTTACTAAACTAATAGGTTTTTTTAAAAAAATAAATAGTTTGAAAAAACAAACTTCTATAAAAATTTTTATGTCAATTTATGCTGCATAAAAATCAGGTTAAATTTCAGTTTTATTAAATTTTAGTTGTTTCTTCGTCAGAAGGACTTAAAGTATAGTTTAAAAGGTCTTCAGTGTCAAGTGAAAATACAAAGACTAGATGTCTCAGCAACCTTGGCTTCATAAAGACTTAAATGGACCATTTTTAAGCCTCCTCTCTGGTAGCCTAACCTCATGGACTCTTGCCATTGTGTCATGAGAAATAAGTGTCTGGGAACCCATCAGTAACTGGAACAAAAACCAATGTAAGAGAGTAAATGAAGGACAAGCATGTAGGATAGTTTAGACAACTATAGTTCCCTCAGCAGACAAAGTCATAAAATAATGTCTTCTAGGACTTTTGAAAAGTTTGCAGTTGTTTGTTAAAATTTTACTATTAATTCCTGTCATTAGGAATATCTATGCTGTACTTGCTAATGTAGTCTTGTAAGGAACATCTAAATTTGTGGCTGGCCCAAACCCTGTCACAGCTCCACGTTTAAAAAATTATCTATCTATCTATCTATCTATCTATCTATCTATCTATCTATCTATCTCTCTATCATCTATCTATCTATCTATTTATCTATCTATCTATCTATCTATATTTGTATTGATTTCAGAGAGGAAGGGAGAGAGAGATAGAAACATCAATGAGGAGAGAGAATCACTGATCGGTCACCTCTTGCATACACACCCTCCCCCGCCAACTGAGGATCAAGCTCGCAACCTAGGCATGTGCCCCCACCAAATCAAACCATGATCTCCTGGTTCATAGCCAACACTCAACCTCTGAACCTCACTAGTTGGGCTCCACATTTTTTAAAAATCTTCACCTGAGGACATGTTTATTGATGAGAGAGAGAGAGAGAGAGAGAGAGAGAGAGAAAGAGAGAGAGAGAGAGAGAGAGAGAGAGAGACAGACATTGATAACATTGATTGGTTGCCTCCCTTAAAGATCCCGACTGGGGATTGAACCCAAAACCTAGGTATGTGCCCAGACCGGTAATTGAACCTGCAAACTTTTGGTACATGGCACAATGTTCCAACCAACTGAGCCAACCCAGCCAGGGAACAGCTCCACATTTTGATGCTCCCTTACATAGTGAACCCCACTTTCTCAATACAGAGTCCACACCAACTACATTTTTCATCCTCCTTTGCTTTTAGGGTGCAGACTCAGGGCCGGGTTCCATCATCTGACAAACCCACACCAGGCAGATCTGGAAACAGGACATGGGAAGAGTAGAATGGGTAAAGAGCACCTGCTGGGCAGGTGCAGATGGTGGCAGAGGCGGCAGCAGACCTCACTGGGCCAGTTGTATGATATGGTCTGGGAATTGTTCCGGGAATTTCAGCTGAAATCCTATTTCTCCAGCTTCTCTGAGGAGACAATAAATAAGCTCTCAACAAACCCCTTCCTGCTGACGCGGACTCAGCGTGAAACCTGTTGTCTGCCACGAAGACACAAGTAAGAGAATTCCCCTTCCTGTCTCCTACTTTTATGAGGCTAGAAAAAAAAACTCATTTCCCTACTTAGTTCCCAAACATATATTTTTTCCAGCTTTGAGTCAATCACTACATCTCCCAACAAAGGGTCTTTTGGGCCTTGAAGAAGACACGTTTTATCACTGCTTGTCCAGATGGCAGCACTTTATGTGAGATCGCACAGGCTTTAACGCAGCAAGGATAAAAATTAAGAATCAGCTGCCAGAAGAAAGCGAACCAGCAGATTATTCCTCTTTCACATCTTGCTTTGTCGTCCTCAATTGCCCCCTGTCTCCGTTTCCCTGGACGCAGTACTGTGCTCTGCTGGAAGGACTGAGGCAGTTGTCTGAAGTTCCCAAGCACCTCCAAAATCAGACAGGTATTGGTGCAGTGATTTAAAGGGAAAGAAAATGGGATGGATATTATACTGTGAAAAAAAGTCATTTCACTCCTTCTGTCCATAGAGGCCAAACAAACTTGTTGGTGTAGATCACACAATGATCATTTCATACATCCACCACTGAGATGACTCACTTTTTTTTTCTTAAAGTGAGAGTTGGCCATGGATCAGGCCCAGAAGCTTGTGAAATTCTTTCCTCCAGACACTTCCTCCAACCTCTTTCAGAATACTTCCAGAGGGACGAGAGGATTTTCAGGTTCCCACCTTCCCTTCCACTGTGATCATCAGTCCGAGCAACATAAATTAATCAAGGACGCTGAGATGGTTCCCCTCACAAAGTGAAGACGCTTGCCTGTCACACATGCTGACAGCCACTTGATTCTAAAATCTAAAATCTAGAATCTGAAGTCAGCATAGTCCATATATTGGAGGGAAAAAAAAATGAAGGAAAGGAAGAAAGTGGCAAGAAGCGGAGGCTAAAAAACTCTTAGCTTATTTAGAGCATTAAATGCCAACAGCAATGTGGTTAGAAAGCACTGTGCTTCCTTAGGCATAATGTACAAGGAAAGGAGGCCAGCCCCACAAGGCAGGAAAATGACAAAGGGGACCCCTTCCTTCCTGAGCTACAGCAGACGAGAGGGACAAGGCAACTTTGGAGGAGGCTGCTTTGGTGTGTGGTGTACCCCTCCCCTTCCTTCACTGGCTGGGATTGAGATGCTGCATGTACAGCTTCCCATCTGTGAAGCTTCTAAAGAAGAACACAATAGCTCTCGGCCATGAGTTTGGGGATCCCATACTGTTAAGGCAGGACAGAGAAAATATAAAACATAAGGTAGGATCTCTCAAAGATACAACACTAACCTTCCCTGGAATGGTGCCTGACACATAGTAGGTAGGTACTCACTAAATGTCTGCTGATAATGAAAACAAGGCGAAAAACATAAAGATCACACCACAAGAAGTGCAGGGGAAGGAAAATGTTGCCAGGCACCCATGCCTTATCCCTGTGAGCAAGGAAACCAGGCCGGACCTGCAGCCACGCTGCGCAAGGCACACTGCATGACTCTGCAGACTCTGATCTCCTGCCTGCCTGCTCCCGTGGGACCGGCTAAGATGCATCTCACTGTGATCTACAATGAGAAGGGAACAACCTATGCAAATGAGTAAAGAAAGGAGTCAAAACTGTCGAAATGCTCAGCTGCTTGCCCCCAAGACCATCTATTTATCTTGGCTTAGTCATTAACAAAGCACAGAAAGTATCTCTCTTGGAGGCCACAGGCTACAGAACATCAAGTACCTGAAAAAGGCTTTGGATGCCTGCACATGTGTACAGTTCATAGCCGTTAATTACTAATTCAGAAAGCTGCAGGAGTGGGGCAGCACAAAGGATCACAACACCATGAGAAGTCTGGATAAACCTAAAATTATCCTAGTAGCAACAGACCTGGCTCTGCAAATGTGATATGGAATCGATTTTCCTTTCAATTGGACCTATATAAGACCATTCTCTAGTACTGAGGTCCACAGAGACAGAGATAAGGGACAGGATATCCTGTGTATGTCTGCAGCTAAATTATGGAAAGTATATCAAACTTAAAGTAAAACAAAAGAATATAAATATTCTAGAACGATCTGAAAAAAATCGTAAGTTCTAAAAATAGCAGCATTACCATTAGCATAGCATTTTAGGTATTTACTACTTCACATTACCTCTAATGTTTAAAAAATACATAAAGCTAAAATTTATTATCTCCTTTTTAAAAGAAAATTCTTACTAAATAAATAAAAACTCAGTACTTTCCATGATGTTTTAAAAAGTGGTTGGTGGAAAGCCATTAATATTAAACTTTTATAGAGCTAATAAATGTCACATTACAAATTTTCAGTTCAGACAGCTGGCCCAAGACTGCACTAAAATACAGAACCTCCCCCCCTCCCCACACCCTCCCAAAAACTGAGTCTATGCATTAAGACTCTCATGATTTCTATGAAGGAAAAGAAAGAGCAGCTCCTTTCTTTTGGCAATTTAAATGGCCTGACATGTTCAGAGCATGGCCTAAGAGGGGGCTAGGGAGAGGAAAAAGGCAGAGAATTCTAGAAAAGCTCTTATCTATACTGACCACACGCATAGGGAATATTCATAATACCAAGGAACATACCAACCAGCAGACATAATGTAGAAAAGATTAGGAAAACACAGGACAGTAAGAGTCACGTGAGATCTGCCCAGTAAACCTCTTGGATCAAGTTTTTGTATTGGGCTTTGAAAGAAACATTAGACATCAGTGGCTGAGAGTAGTTTTAGAAAGTATCTCAGAGGCTCTTGAACAAAAGGTTAAAGCTTTCTAAATGCACATTCTCAAAAGTCCTAATATTGTTCAGTTTTCTGTTTCAACAAGCATAGTAACCACCAAAAGTAAGTTTTGGCCTTTGGGCCTGAAACGAAAGAATACACCTAAAATGGTATGCAAGCAAAGACTTCAAAGTAGGGGAAGATTCTGATTTCAGGACTAGTA